CTAATGCAACAGGTGTGTAATAAGATTAAAAATGTCTAGAAACAGCTGGAACCAACGAACTACCTTTGGCTTATGTTAGCATTTAAAAAAAAAATCTAATTTAAGGTGTTACTCATTAACAAATGTACAACAGTGAGGGAAAAAATCAGGTGGAAAGGAGGTTGGGGACTTTACACAGGTTCTGTAATGGCATGAAGAATGTGGGGAGTTTTTTTTAGCGCTTTGTGATGTTTTATGGAGTAGATTTGGTGCTGACATGTGGAAAATAAGTGATGTTCTTATTGTGTCCAGCAGAAAATAAATTAGCTTAGGCAAAGAGAAACCAGGAGACAACCTCAACCGGCGGGCCATGGACTGGGAGTCGTTTGATACTGGGCCGTGAGAGTTGAGGCTCGGCTTTTTTTTTAATCGTTTTTATCATTAACTCGGATTCCCTGGGTCTTTTCCCGTGTGTTATGAATAAATCTTGTTTTTTTCGTACCGGTACTGGTTTCATTTAGTTGTATTTATCCGTGACACCTTAAAGGGCGGTCCGTGAAAATATTGTCAGACATAAAGTGGTCTGTGGTGCAAAAAGGTTGGGGACGACTTATGTAGGGCATTCTCTAAAACGACCAAACTACTCGGGATGCTAGACAGACAGAGGTCTTATAGGAGAGGCTTACAGAATTATTAGCCCCATATTTTGGTTAAGTATTTCCAGAGTATCTGTTAAATAGAGCAAGGGATTTTTAAGACAAACATCTTTGTTTTATTGTCGATGTTTACATTATTTTACTTTAAACATAGAAACAAAATTATTTAACAAAAACCTAAACTATCAGTTTCCAAACTATTAGTCCCATGATGTTAATAGTCAAACATGTATCATATCTTCTTGGATAACAGTCTGCAGCAGATTTTGTTGTAGTTTTCAACAAATCTCCTGAGAAACCCCAGCCCCTTCTTCTTTGACTAATCTCTCAGCCTCCTCTAGATTTTATGGTCAATAGTCAGTAACATTTACTTTGGTCCTCTTATGGTAGTTCTTCACCAGGAGCAACATCTGATTTGGGTTGTTGTTGTCGTGTTGAAAGACAAACAGCATAATACTCCCACCACCGTGCTTCACTGTGGGGATGGTGTCAGGATGCGTGTCCAGTTTGCATAATCTTTCTCCGGGTTCTCCTAGCGTACTTCAGCCTGCCTTAAAGGCATCTCTACTTGTAGTGATTGTCTTCTTTAAGATTTTATTCTTTAGGTCATTCACTCATGTCTCAGCAGTTGTTCTGGGGTCTTTAGGCACATCTCTCACTAGTTTTATTTCCAGAGTCTTTAAAACCTTTCAATCATGCCAGGTTTGTTCTGTACTGTGGGGCTTTTTCTATGAATTCCTTTATGATACTTCTCACTCCAGTTCTTGACACTTTGAAGATAACCTTGGCTGTAACTGGATTGTTGTAACTCTGAGCATTACAAAGTTAAAGCACATCATTGCACATTGGTCAATTTTTCAGGGAGCTAAGAATTATGACTCTGATAAATATATTTTTCTGAAATAATTATTTAATTAATTATTATTATTAAATAATGTATGCTTTCTTAAGAAAACGGGCATGTTTCAAAATGCTTTATTTAAAAAAAAACATGCTGTTATAATAGCACTGTATGCTGGGTGGAAAGTGGTGCATAAATGTTACAATAACCGACTCATGTCAGTGTCTCTACTTCATCCATCGGATGCCGGTGTTTGTTAAATACTTTTCCATGTGTAACACGGCAAACTGTAAAGGATCTTACGGGTGGCAGTGGCCCACACTGACAGTCGCCACACCAGCAAACAGATCCAGATATCGTCTCCCGTCCACATCCCACAGCCACTGCATGTACCCCTGGTGGATGAACACTGGCTTCTTATAATAAGTAACCTTCATGGTCATGGGGTTGCAGTTCTGTCTGCGGATCTCTATCATACGGTCTTTGGACATACCCTTGATAGAGACAAGTACACAAGATAAGGGTTGCAGAATGGGATGTTTATTTTTTTGTAACTGAGGTTTTTTACTCACTGGGCTGAAGTTCTCATTTATTCAACCAACTAAGTACTATTATTACTGAAGCGATTACATAATGCAAGGCCAAATGTATCAGCAGGCCAAATGTATCAGCAGGAGTCTGCTCTTACCGTGTATTTTTCTGGACTGAAATTGCACGGGGGCATCTCTGGCACGTCTGTAGAGGGGGGCTTGAAGGCTGATTTCTGACATAATGCGCCTGTAAATTAATTGCAGCGTAAAAACAAAAGAAGAAGAACGGAAGAACAGCTGGTTGACAACCATAGAGCTCTCTATTTTATCTGGCAGAGGATGATCAAAGCTTTGGCGTGACATTACAGTGACATCATGTGAAACATCTTTCTGTTGACACAAATGCCAAATATTTAACACCCAATTACCAAATGTAATTTCTAATCATCAACAAAAAAAAACACACACATCAGGTTTAAACTGTGTTTGCCTTTGATGCTACTGGTTTCATTTCATTCACACTTTTGAACAATATTGAAGCCAGGATGGGACCACATTAAGATAACCTTTGACCTCACAGCACACTGATGTAATGCTGCCTGTTAGCTTGTTGTGAAACCTCTAGCAGACATCTACAATGGCATGGCTGTGACAGATCTTCAGATTGAGATATTATTAAAAGAAAAAATAATAATAATCGTTGAATCAATTAACTGAAATATGCTCCTCCTGCACTGTAGTAGCAACAAACCAAAAAGCTTAACACACTTATATAGTGAGGGTAAAAGTTGGAGCTGAAGAAGGGAGAACTCACCACTTGCCCGGTGGAAATAGGCCAAACTGGGCCTTGAGCAGGACCCTCGTGTTAAAGCAGCACAGCGTCCGCTTAGATTCGATATAGCTTTATACATGGTGAGCAGGCACTGGGGGGGTACACGACAAGTGCTCTTCTTCTACCGTGTTGACAGTCAAAAGGAGATAAGGCGGGTGCCCGTTTTTCTTTCTCAAAAAAAAAAGTGTTTGAAGTGGGCGGCGACGTCCCTCGCGCGCGCTCACAACGTCATGGTTTGTTTGTTCCTGAACTTGTCCCGCTTAAGATTAGCAATTTACTGGAAAAAAACAGTAACCTCACAAAGTTATGCGCCAATGGAAGATACAGAATATAGTAAATTAGTATCAACAAAAAAGGCTTTTAACTGGTGTAAACTGGTTTTTAAACGAGTCGACAAAAGCGCAAAAGAGAAGGGTATCCTTTGTTTTTTATTGTGTGAAAAGGATACATAATATAAAAATGTGTCATTACCTTATGTACTTTATGTGTTGTGTACTTTATTTGTGTCCATTTTTATTCACGAGTGAGCCAAAAAAAAACCCCAACCCCCCCCCAAAAAAAAAATGTTAAAAAATTAACCCGAAAAAATCAGAGGAACACCAATTAAAATGTTCAGATTTATTTTAAAGTACAAACAAATTGAAATGTTAACATTTAAATAAATAGATAAATAAATAACACTTATTCACGATGTATATTTTGTCCTGCCTCTCTCTGCTCTCTTCTCCCTCCCTGCACCCAAAGCCTGGCAGAGGGCTACCACTTCGGTCCACACGTGCTTGCTCATGGGTGGTTGTCTGATTTGTTTTCTCTTTAATATTGTGGGCTCTTTACCCTTGATGAGAATGTTCTTGTGATTTGGTGCTAGATGACCAATTAATCCTATTCAAGTGAATCAGAAACCGAGTGGATTGCATAAGTACATAATTCATTATCCTTTTTCTTGTTTGTGTTTTAAATTCACTTGTGTTGCTTATTTTGTCACGTTATTAATTTTTTTGCAAGTTCGAAAAAAAAAATCGTTGATTATCCCACAGCCTTACTGATCACCACTGTATGTACAACAGCACAGAAGAACCTTAGTATGTATTTAGTAACTAAACAAAAATTAGATTTTACTTTTCTATGATTGAAATGTATGAAATTCTTTGATCTTTTCATATTTTACCAATTCAATGTAGTAATGCTTGGATCACCACACTGCAATAACATTTTGGTAAATATTTGCAATTATTAATGAGTACTCTGCAAAGCAATACAGGGGCCTGAATACCACCTTATGCTGGGCTGCTTCTAAACAACATGCTACCCCTGCTTGCTGCTGGGTAAATGCATGCTTTTTTACATGTATTTTCATTACTAATATTGTCAGCCAAGTAATATTACACGTATGTAAGTATCAAATAAGGACACAAAAAATAAACAAAATTCCATTACTGGGTTTTTTTTTTATTTTGTTATAAACATGACTTTCCACAAAGATTTTACATTTCATTTCAAAACTATACATATATTTATATAGGTACGTGTAAGCTATACAGACATCTGTGCATACAGAAATAAAGAGCAGTGTTGTACATTACCATACCAAGTAATACAACACTACTTCGCCTTCCAAAAATCTAAATATCTTTGCAGATTAAAACTGCAGAAGGTGTATTTACAGAAAAACATTCTCATTCTCTCTGAATGAAAAAATAGAGCAGTACATTCTCACTTTTGCTGTGTTTTGTTGTGTTTGTTTTTAATTTTAATGCTATACATATTGTAGCTTTGGAGAAAGCAGCTTAAAAATGTAGTGTTGGTTTCTATAAGGAAAAGGGAAAATACACTCACATACAAAAAACTGAGACAAAGTAGAAGGTTGGGGTTTCTGCAGTTTTTAACAGATAATCACAATTACTATACGGTATATCAATAGGATCGATGAAAACAACGTTTATGTGCCAGAGAGGATGGTTCATGATAGACATCCAGTACAATCAGGATGATCATATAAAGTACCACGTGGATTTTTAGAAGAATTACAAAACTCAATTAAGCTCATTAGTCAAGATATTCAATAACAATTATTTGATAATCAATAGTGTGTTACTGCTTCGCCCTCAGCAAAGACATGTCTCTTACAGGAGAAGAAGATAAAAAAATAAATATACATTGTCTTGGCAATTTTTTTTTTTTTTAAGGAGTGTTAGTGCTTTTTTGTATCTTTCAGTCCCTGCCTCTTGCAATGTTCTACAACTGCCAATTTGGGCTGGCATGTCTACTAAGTGTCCAGGGAGAACATAGTGGCAGTGTCGACATACCCACTTACTGCCAGAACCCTTTCCTCCTGGACCGGCAGGGCAATGTGACTGCAGGTTGTTGGCTTAGGAGTGTTAATAGCGATGGAAGATGTGTAGCAGCTCTCGGCTGCTCCAGCCATTTCCATGCTCTCTTCTTCCACCACGTCTCTCTGGAGCAGCAGCACATTGTCACTGTTTACCCCTTTCACTTTGCTGTAGTTGTCTCTATGTCCTACCCAGGAGCAGGCTTTTTCACGGCTATGGCCTGAAGGAATAGGATGGAGAAGCACCTTATTCTCCTCATTGAGCCTTTGCACTTCAACATACTCTGTCATCCGGGTGGGCAACAGCAGATTACTGGGCACATTTCCGTCATTGATGGCTGAGATGTTGCGATCGCTGTGGGCCTGGAGTTGCTGGTGGACATCTGTCTGGGGATAAGGTTGATTATTATTAAAGCAGACCTCCCAGTAGCTTGACTGGAGAGCCTTTTTGATGCAGTGGTCTGAGGATGGGGAGCCCGGAGGAAACTGGGTGTCAGAAAGGCAATTCTGTTTGTGCATCTCAAGTGAGTTGTGTGGATCCAGTGGGCTTGGGCTGTACGGAGTCACTGGGGAAAACACAGAAGGCCAGGTCTTAACCTTCTTACTTGATGCATCAGGGCTAACTACATCTTCATTAGCACATAGCATCGTTTCCTTCTCCCAGGCTTCTTTGGGCCCTTGTGTCTCCGTCCCAATTTGATCTCCCTCCTGATTTTGTTGCTGCTGTTCCTCTTTTGCCGCGCCACTCTTATCCATCAACAGATTGTCACTGTCACAGCTGCCCCGGCCAGAGTCACTGTCGGATGCCGAGCCTATGGATTTCAGGCAGCCATCATGATCCTTGCCTTCGTCGACCATCAGTTCCTGCTGTTCTGGCACATACACTTCTAAGTATTCTACCAGCAAGTCCTCATAGTTAGACGTGGTTGGTGGGAAGTCAGACACCACCAGTGCACTGAACACCTCGTCAGACTTGCCACTCTGCACACAAAGAGTAAAACTACTCAATGCAGATAGAAAGCACTATACAAATAGACATTTTTTCTGAATAAGTAGCCATCGAGACAGTGTTCATAATGTTACCCCTTTACCTTGAGAAGCTGCTTGTCAAAGCCTTTGATTTTAGGACCAGGGACTGGTGGCAGCATGCAGTGTTTCAGACTTTACACACAGACACACAAAAGGCTTTGTTAGCAGGAGTTGAATATGACAGATGTGATGACTATAGACAGTATTTTACTTGCAGTATGCTACCAAAGCCCAGAATGGTCACATTATCGCATGAGCTAATACAGTTATTTATAGTTTATTACCTGTGAGACATTTAATCAAATTTTTCTTTCCTACTAATGGAAATTTATACATGTGAATAAGATCATTCTGTGTTTTTACAACAAAGGAAGGACTGAAGTCTCTGCACAGAAATATCCTTTAGCCATGTCTGGTTTTACAGAACAGACAGTGTGAATAATGGGCACCACTATGGAGTATTGATTTTTCTTGAGGTAAAGGGATAATTCAGCCACAACTCATAAAAAAATGTAAAGAATTTCAAATAATTTGATAGCTAAGTAATTGCAGTATTTTAGTAATAATATTCTACCATAGGATCTAAATGCTTTGGGCTTATGTAACATATGACAAAGTACAGTCATGGTGGAAAATAATTACGTCCTCAGTCAATTCTAAGGTTTTGCATATCACAGTGTTAAAAATAACTATGTAGTCCTTAGCAGGTCTTAAAGCTCAGGTAAATGCAACCTTTGATGGACAAAAGCTCATGACTTATTACACTCTATAAGTATTTATATAACAAAAACTAATGAAACTAATGCATTAACTTGACTTTGTCAATCTCTCATTTCACTGTGAAGGAATTTTGGCACCCTCTTCTCTATAGTATTGCTTCTCTTCACTGAGGTTTGCAGGTATTCATTCATGCACAGCTCTTTTACGGTCCCATCACAGCGTTTCAGTCAGGTTGAGGTCTGGCTGGACTTTGAGACTGGGCCATCACAGCACTTTAATTCTTAATTTCTCTTTTTCAGCCGTTCCACTGTAGATTTGCTGCTGTGCTTGGGATCATTGTCCTGTTTCATGACCTAGATTCAGCCAAGCTGTCAGACAGATGGCCTCACGTGTGAATACTTTGGTATACAGAGGAATTCATGATCGACCTTGACTGAAAGATGCCCAGGCCCTATGGCTGCAAAGCAAGCGCAAATCATCAGCCCTTCACCGCTGTCTTTGACAGGTGCTATGAGGTCCCTGTGCTGAAATTTTTCACTAAATGTGGTACTGTGGAGCAAATCTGACAAAACCTCTGTTCATCACACTTGCATTTGATTATCAGAAGCTGGATGCTACTTACCGTCCTAATTTCTATAGAAGCAGTAATTTCTGCATTTTGGCTTAATATTTGTTAAATAAGGGACATAGTCTATGTCATTTGTCATTTGCTGTTGTTAATACGAGGTTGCGTTAACCTAATTTCAAGACATCATCACAGTTGTTTTGTCCTTATACATAAAAGCTTGTATCTGATTGAGGGCGTGCTTTCTTATTACGCTTTGAAATTGTACAGAAACAATACATTTAAATAAATAATAACCAGCATTTTAACAAAGCAAAGTGGTTAAGAAGATCATTGTTACCTGTGGCTATTCATGTGTATCAGCCATATGAGGATCAGTAAAATGAAGGCAGAAAAGACTAAAATGAGGATCCAGACAGACTTTTCCCGATGGAGATCTGAAAGATGCAACATAACAATGTGTGGGTGCTTCAGCAGAACAACGCAGTATCCATCTTTTTTTCTTCTTCCTGGGTTTATTATCATTACATCATGCTAAAGCGAGGCAAGCAAATACTTTTCCCAAGAGGCTGCATGACAACTGGGATTGTTGTGGAGGGCTGTACCAACAATCGTATAAATATTATAATACTACTGAGCAGAATTCCACTTTTTGGTGCGACCGTCCAGTTCCGGTTTGTCATGTGGCCCCTTGGAAAAATAAATATCCTGCCCCTGCTAAAGGGAATATCTAATTACACATAGATAAACTTTCTGGCAGTGAGTTATGATAACACTGCCATATGTGTGAGATATAACGATATTAACATTAAATAAAGAGGTCAAGGATAAAAATGCGCCAGTTAGCACATGAAACAATGAAACAGCTAAGCGCAAAAAAAGGCAGTAAAACCACAATGAAGGAATACGATTTCTAGTGATAATTAAATTGGTTAAACTGGTTCCTTTGCAAAGAGCCAGATTAGCTTCCTTCTTTAACTTCTAATCTTCATGCTAAGGTAAACTAACTGAGTGCTATTTGGATTATGAGAGTAGCTCTCAACAAGAAAGTGGTGTAATATAGATTCCAAAATGTTAAACTGTTCCTTTAATAAATAAATATATCCTATACAATATATAATATTTAGTTAATGCAAAAGACAGTTGGCGGATGTCTTACACTCTGGAACTTTGACGTAGGAAGTGGAACTCCATTCACTCCAAAAGCCGTGATCGGGCTTACAGCGCACCTGAATAAGGTATGTACCACCTGACCGCAGGCTGAAAATATTAAACATCTTCTGCTGGCCCGCAACGTGATTCTGGAAACACACATAGCCAACAGAAACACACAAATCAGTTAGTCTGTCAGGCTGCCAATATACAGATCTGAAATGTTAAAAAACCTGTCCTTTCACTAACACATCGTGTAGTTCCCTTACACCAGTCTAGAACAAAGTTTCAAATTTGAAAGGCAAATACTTCAAAGAGCATACCACACCCTGAAATGCGCTGAGACCTACGTACCTCCCACTCACTTTCCTCCTCCTCCAACTTGACGCGGAGCTCATAGATTAGAGTGATCCAACCAGAGCGGGTGTCAGCCTTACGAGGTGGTTCCCAAGACACTCGAAGAAAAGGCCAGCCCTGATCCTTCATTACTGTCACTTCTAGCTTTTCTGGAGGATGAGGCTTGACTGGAGCAGAAGAGAGAAAATGTGAATGAAAGAAAGACAGAGCAACAGCAAATCCAACAATGAATAAAGATTGTATTACTGAAAAAACAAACAAAAAAACCAATAGGCATTGGTCTTGTGAACGGCAGCAGGTGAAACCACTGCAGGGTGAATTATCAGCTGTTACACAGCTAACAAAAGGACACTCCCAGCGGATAAGCACCAGCATTGCAGGAATGACCTTCAACATATTTGTCGACGTGTGTATTATGACATATAGTAGTGATAAATGTCACTGTTTGGGCTTTACGCTATCCTCGTGGAGACACATATCTGACAATTGTGAGGTAACACAAAGAAAAAGATAAGCAGATCAGAACAACTCGACACACTTCCAGTTAAGGAGGCTCAAGGACAAGATGAATACTTCTCTGTTAATTTACTCTCCCATTTTAAATATTTCATGAATATACTTTTTGTTTAGAAAGATGGAACTACTTCTTACTAAAGTATTGAATTACTTGCATTAAAGTACTTTATTTCTGTTAGTGAAGTAAATGATTGTCTAAAATAACTAGACAGTGTGCATTTTTGAAGCAGGAGAAAAGAGAGCAGATTTTCCATTGCAGTAAACAAGCGTACACACGCTCAAGTGTGACTGGCCCCCACCAAAAACACATTAGAAGCTCATAAATGATAAGGAGGTAAAAGAAATTCTTGTTACAATTTCAAAACACAATAATGTTTTAATTTTGTTTAATTTAGCATTAGTTAATGCTAAACTTAATTTCAGTTGATTTTGTAGATCGTGCACCAGCTAGTCCTTTAATCGCTGCAAAGGAAATTTCACTGTGGACATTAAAAGGTGACCTTTAGTGAGCAGTTACAGCATAACGGGAGGGGGTGACTAAACTCCAAGAGCATTTGCCACAGTGTAGCGCAGTGTGCTGCCGAGCAGCTGTGGAGCTGCTTTTTTTAATCCCTGTGGTGAAATTATGAAAACCCCTCTACCCCTGCCCCCAGTCCCCTCACCAATGTAGACCACGTCTATATCCACAGGGTCAGAGTAGGTCTTGCCCAGTGCGTTGGTGGCCACCACGGTGATGTTGTAGCTGACCCAGATGACGGTGTCGTTCTTGTTAAAGAAGCAGGAGTTCTTCCCAGCTGTGTGGTAGTCAGGACACTCGTGCACTACGTCAGAACTGCAAGAGAGGCAGAGGAGCGGCATGCAATCACAGGTGTGCGCTGGCATTGTGCTTGCACAGCCACATTAAAATAACAGTGTACATCCTCCCTATTCCTGACACTGCATATGTGTGTGAGAGTGACGAGAGGAGACAGATGGCGAGAAAGTGTGACTGCAGAATAAGTGGAGGCCATCTTTTTTTTTTTTTTTTTTTACTGTTAAGCTGCTACGATGTTGTATTTAATTAAAGGAGACACAGAAAATAACTTTGGTATTGTTTTCTGTTTGAACTGCAGGTTCATATCCCAGTAGACCTGGGTGTTGAACTGTTGAAATAATGAACACAACTGGGAGTGTTTGCATATAGAACATGGGAAACAAATTGTTGCTGCTGTCGCAGTAACTAGTGACGACTGGTCGGGGGACGTGTTCAGGTGAGGACAACATGAGGAAAAATAATGTGCGCCTCTGAATGCTGGTGAAGCTGCCTGCGACAAACGCATGCATTTGATTGGTTTGATTTCAGAAAAAGTGGGGAAAGTGACTCATGTCATCTCTATGGTGAGCAGAACTTGCACAAACCAATTAATCAAAGTGTATTTGTTCTGCTGCTACACACTATACCACAGTGAACTGAAAGTTGAATACAAGAAGACATCAAAAAATGAGAAACAATACAAAATACTACACCAATAATATAGCATTATAATGGTATTACTTTGATTTATTTATAGAGTTACTGAAAGAAGCACATGTGATGTGTCAGGAAGCCATGGCAAAACTGACTAAGTGGAAAAACCTATCCTAATAAATCTGCGCCATAAAGCAGTTTAGGCAGAACATTAAATGCAAGATCATCAAATTAAAACAAAAACAGGAAAGCTGATGTTAAAGGTAGACAATCTCAAGAGCGGTGGAGGACTGAGAGCTTCTTCATGTAGTTTAAAGAGCCAGTCTGTGATTTCTTTTCTCAGTCCAAAAACCAGCAGAGATTGGAAGCCACTGACTCGACGCAAAAAGCTCCCGAACTGAAAGCGGCAATATACGTTTCTCCTAGCAAAATCACAAAGTGATGGAGTTTCATCACAGCAGAGGAAATTGCTGAATCTTCGAGGTTTGTGGTTTGTGAAAGTGCAACGTTTATTTGCAGCCAATTTCACTGCAGATGTCTCTCTTACAGGTGAAATGTGTGATGAAAAATCTTTTACTTTTTATTTTCTTCATGAAATTTCCCACAAAACCGTTGTGTTGTGGTGCGAGACTTTTAAAAATATATGCAAGAACAAAATTACTGATTAACATATTTAGTACATATTGAGGCTGGTGAAACGGGTGGTTCACTATTTCAAAAATGTATGATATCCAAATCGTTTCAGATCTGAGGAGCTTCACAGTTAAACCTCAAAAACAATTTTTGCAGCATGGTGCATTATATTATTGTGAAAACGGTCAAAAGACATAAACCCCCACCACCACCATCACAACACAAGGACTACCAATTTGTTTAGGTAGTTCTTATCGCTCAAAGTAACATCTACATCAATGTCAGGATCTAGTGTTTCCCAGCAGGAAGTGGCCTTCAACCTCTGGGCGCCTTCATGCCATGGTTTATCCACTGCCATATCTTCTCTACTGTACTCGGAGTATTAGAAAATACTGTAAGTTAGCTTATGTGTTATATTAAGGAAGATGAATAATCCGCCATTGAAGACTGGAATAGTTGGAAAAGAACCCCAAAAGTCATAGCCCTCTAAAAGGACTATATGCCATACAGGGTTAAGGGATGGACTAGTTTTTGGCAGGGAGCAGTGACAAAATAGATATGCATCACCTTCAGGCCTTTATGCTAAGCTAATCAGAGCCTTAGTAAAAGATATGAGGAACGTTAACTTCCTCCTCTCTCTGTTAGGTTTAAGGCAGGCTAGACTTGTTCTCCCTGTTTTCTTTTCCTCTTTGCTCTCAGGTTGAGTTGTGGGCAGATTGCTCCTGCCACTGCCCATGAGTGGAGAGTAAATGGTGGTAAAATTTACCACCATTTACCACCATTGTATGGTGGTAAATTAGAGCCTCATGTTTGCCGTTTGTTTGCAGCTGTTTCGATTAGTGATTCCTGCTTCTTGTCTACTTCCGTGTTGTCCATCTGGAATTCTTGGCAAGCTCATCAAGACACTCACCTGTCAACCTTTTTGGAGTTCAAGAGCTACCACCGGACAGTGACAGTACACCAAATCTAATTCTGAGGCTTCCTGTGGAAACAAGGACTTGCCTGAATATCACCTGCCTGCCCACTCTCCTTCAAGTCTCCTCAGTCGTCCTTTGATTCCAGTCTGCCTACCAACAACCCCTCTCTCGGCCTGCTATTCACCAGCCACTTACTGATTTTGTGGACTGTAAATAAACCTTTTAAACTTCATGTCAGCTGCCTGAGTTTGCTCTCTGGGCCCAGCCACAGTAAAACCTTGACAGAACAATGTAGACAACCCATGGACGCATCAGACTGTATTAGGTGAACATGAGAAGGCTTTAACATCTATAGTTCAGCAGCTACGTGAAACACATCAGCGGGTAGAACAGATGGGTAATGCACTGTAAATAATTCACTCCAAACTGTCACCTTCTCCCATCCCGGATGCTCCGGTTCAGGTCAGTGTGCCCTCTCCTGATGCAGTTGCCTTTTCACAGCCATCCCCATCTCACCTGAACTATCTGGTGGAGAGCCAGGTCACTGGGGTGGATTTTTGCTTTGGTACTCACTACTGTTTCAGTGCTCTCCACTGGCCTTCTCAAACAATTGTTCACAAAATACTACAGTTAAGGGTCTGGGCACTCAAATACGTTAAAGCATATTTACTATGAAACCCTATAGAGTCTGTGTCCTACACACTATTCATTAAGAAATCTCAAGTTAGTTTGTGAACACTCTCTAAATGAGGAAGAAGCAGCTTGACATGTACTCAACCTACATCAAAGTCTGTAGCAGAGGTTCTACTGAGTTCAGGGTAATGGCTGAGACAGGGTTGGAGAAAAAAGCCCTAAGATGGACATTGTATGATACCCTTAATGAGCAAATGAAGGATGAATTGGCCTCTTGCAATAAGTCGAAGTGTTTTGAGGAATTATAGCCCTTGCTGACCTTATCGATACCCACGTCAGAGAACGTGTACAAGAAAATAGGACCATTTCTAGTCTCTGCATCTTACCACCCTTACGACTGTGCCATTAACAACCTCCCAGGGGTGCCTCTTCCCTCAAGCCGTCTATACAATCTTTCCGGTCCTAAACACCTTGCCATGGATAAATACATCAAGGACTCCCTTGACAACAGCATCATTCAACCGTTCTCCACTCCAGTGGGTGGGAGTTTCTTCTTTGTAGAAAAAAAGAGATTCGGCGACCCTGCATTGACTATGAGGGTTAAATCAAATCACTGTAAAAAATAGGTATCCTTTTCCCTTAATCACCTCAGCCTGTGAGCCACAGCATTCACAAAATTAGATCAACGTAATGCTTATCATTTGTTCCACGTCCGGGAGGAGGATGAATGGAAGACGGCATTTAACATTCCATTAGGTCACTATATATGGTCATGACATTTAGTTGAACCAATGCCCCCACTGTCTTTAAGGCCTGGTCAATGATGTCTTAAGAGACGTTTGAAACATCTTTTTGTTTGTTTTTTGGATGATACCTTGAGACCCTCGAAGAACTTCATGTCTCTGCAAGCAGGTACTACAGAGACTACTTGAAAACAAACTCTTCGTTAAGGCCAAAAAATGTGGAATTCATGCTAGCCATGTGACTTTTCTTGGAGATGGAGGTGAAAGCTGTAACTGACAGGCCTGTCTCCACATCCTGGAAACAGCTACAACGGTTCCTTGGATTTGCAAACTTTAAATGCTGCTTCATCAGGAATTATAGTCAAGCTCCAGTACCATTAACCGACTCACTTCCTCTTCCAGGCCATTTAAATGAAATGGAAGTAGGAAGCAGATCAAACATTTCAAATGATCAAAGACAGGTTTAACTCTGCACCTGTACTGAACCATCCCGATCTGTTAAAACAATTCATTATTGAAGCAGGTCTCTCGGGTGGGGACAGTGCTAATGTACAGAAGCCGACGGTAAGCTGCATGCCTTCTTTTCTTGGCATTTGCCTCCAGCAAAAAACTATGACGTATTCAACCGAGAGTTACTTGCTATCAAAGTAGCTTTAGAGGAGTGGAGGCACTGGCCAGTGAGAGCTGAAATACTATTTATTGTATTGACTGATCATAAAAACCTAGTTTATCTCCAAATGACTCAAGACAAGCAAAGTGGCAACTATTCTTTATATGTATGGCTTTATTTCAACTTTACCATAATTTATCTACCTGGCTCCTGAAATGTGAAACCTGATGCTTTGTCTCGTCAATTCTCCACAGAGTTAGACCCTGTTGAACCAGAACTCATCCTACCTCCATCCTGGGCCATTCCAGTTCATCTCTAAAGCTTGGAAAGCATTTTGTGAGGCCCCGGGTGCTAGCGCTAGGCTAACCTCACCCTGACAATCTTTTTTTTTTTTTTTTAGTTTAAGAGCCACTGCTGGGTAATCATAGTCACAGTTTTAATTACATGACTTCCTCTGAAAGAAAGGAATTACCTGAAAATCACCTGCCGGACCACTCTTCTCAGCCTCCCGCCGATTCCTGCCAATGACCACTTTCTCAGTCTGAATTTCACTGCTGACAAGTAAGCACTCAAAGACAATCTGAGCTACTGCAGTCAGATTCTCTCTGCCCGACTTTGCTAATTCCCTTTGTTAATCTCCCCACACCTTTCCAGGTACTGATTTTGTATACTTTGTACATAAACCTTTTAAACTTCATGTCACTTGTCTGATTCCCTCTGAGTCCAGCCACAGTAAAACCATGACAGTATGTGGCCATATGCTTTGCATATCAGGAGTTCAGTATCAATCTTGTCAGTGTGTGGCTCAGTTTTTATCAGCCTCTTCACATGCAGCACATGCAGCCTAACATACAATATAAGTTTTGTTCATTTTTTCTCTGTTATTTTATTGGGTGGGGGGGGGGTTGTAGTTTTTTTGCCTTCTTATATTCCTGTCAGTTTGACTTCCTTTGATTGCTTTCCTGCCTTTTTCAATGTTTGCTTTGCCCTCATTAGTATCACTTGTTTTAATCTAAAACACCTGTTTCCAAGTGTACTCATAGTGGATTTTTTTTCTTTTCGCAGTTAGTGTCCCAGTGTTCTCCAGTCTTAACAGTATTCCCCATCACACCTTTATTAACCACTGCATGACCACGGCCTGCCTGGATTGTTTACAGTGTTCACAAACTGTGTTTTCACTTTGTAGTTAAATAAGCTAGTACTTCCACTCCTTCTCTGTACACCTGTATCAACCTTGAAGTATTTAAAAATCCATGTTCACGGGCACCTCTTAGCACTTTGCAATCTTTATCCTCTGACACCGTTTGGATTGTTGCCATTTAATAAACCACAAACAAGAACATCCCATTGTGCCAGCTGTACTGATGGAACTCTTCTTTTTATTAATATGAAAAATCTTTTTTTTTTAACAATTGCCAAGTGCTTACACTTCCCTTTATAATACATTATGTAAAGGGCCCTGATATACTAATATTATGATCCGTGTTTATATGAATGAACTAAAAAAACAACTATTACTCAATGTTTGTGGCTACCAGATAACATGAAGTAAAATTATAACAAGCTTGGGCGCTTCTGCGCGAGTTTCTCACCCTTCTTTTCGATAGTAGAGAGCATATGTAGTAGGCAGGCCCCCATCAGATCCTGGCTTCCACCAGCATGTGAAGGTCTCTTTCTCTGGAGAACGGCATTTGATCTCTGTGGGCTTGCCAGGTAAGCTATAACCTAAGACAGATATTAGATGGAAACAAGAAAACATAGGAATTTACTAGACTACATCCTAAACAGTGTGTCAAGCCTAAGCAATGAAAAAAGGTAAAATTTTAAATTAGACAAGAAGATGAAAGAAATAAAACTTTAATGTGAGTTGAGAGTAATATGAAACACAAAAAATATCCACAGATGAAACTCAGCGTTGCTTAGTGCTTATTAATTATGCAGATCTGGCTCATGTGTTAACCAGCTAGATCACACCTCTCGGATATCTTAGCTCATTGTCAGAAACCTAAGAAGGTGCTAAGACCGAGTTTCAAGCCAAAACACTTACGCGTTCCGTCTGTGTGCGGCACAAAGGCTGGAAGCAACAACAGCAGGAGAACTTCTCCGACTTTCGTCATCATTGCACCACAAAACCTTGTTGGGCTGAAAAAAACGAGAGAACGAAAGGAAGAAAGAAAGGTGAAGACGGAGGACTTGTCTGATCTGCCCTCTGGACAAATCAGTTGACCCACAATGTTGATTGCACATCTTGTATTGAGTTACAACACACTTGAATGACAAACAAAAACTGGAACATGCAGCCCGTGTGGTTTCTTATTGTGACACTAACCTGTTTGACGGTGAAGTGTTACATGCAGCGCTAAAATTAGTTCAAAGCCCTCCGCATTTAGAAACAGACGGTGTGAAAAGATTTTAACCACAGGTGAAATAACGTTATAGTCACTGGTAAAGAAATATCCAATATCGGATACGTTGGATCAGTTTATGCTGAGAAACCATTTTGATCAGTTGCTATGAATATGAATCATAAGCCAAAATGGTAAACGAAGTATCTGAGTAAACGAAGAGTAAAAAACTGATGAAAGACGAAACACCTTCTAGAGGATAATGTGCTGTTTCACTAAGGATTAAAAAAAAAAGCATCCACTCTGTCTCTGACTACCTCTACCAGCTGGCACACACAGCGTAACTGATTGCATAACCTGTGGTCGGGCTTTTGCCCCGACAACACACACAGCAGGAGGCTGATTTGCCTTGCTGGAGACTGGCTTGACTCATCTTCTCATGACTGGAAAATCTGCATTTGCTTCGGCATGTGCTGATGTAGTATCAGTTATTACTCTGCACGACCCCTGATCTCTAAAGCCATTGGACAGCAGGGGTAGGGTAGACGCAGGGGGTATTAGTTAGAGGTTAAATAGATGGGAGAGCTAATGTTGCATGAGCGATAAGGCTGACAGAAAAAGAAAAAAAAAACACTTCCCTCACATGTTATCTCACATGCTGCCTCCCTTTTCTTTCATTGCTGGGCCTGAACATTTGTTAAGCCAGGATTTGACATGTCAAATGCAAGGATCCTTTGACCAACCCCCAACCACCAGTACATCCAAGAAAAAGATCAAATATAAAGAGGGGTATGATCACACTTGAAGTGTTTTTTGTGTGTTTTTTAAGGGAGCACTTGATGCAGTTTAGCCTGAGCATATGCAAAAATATGCAAATAAGACTTTTTCTTCAACACAAAGCTCTGAAAAACTATAAAAAAGGGAGATTCAAAAATGAGAAAATTTGTGTAAGGGTAGCGTGCAATTTGCTTGTTATTTGCATGTGAAAAAATAAAAAACAGGACAGAGGCCCTGTTCTGTGATTAGACTTTTTTTTAAAATCAAGAATATAAAATAACCATTTCATTACAAAGTGTCCAAACTGAGCTGTTTGTTTTAAAAGGTGCCACCTTGACTCAAGAGATCTCCTAGATGTGCGTGGCATGTTTGCCGTCACCTTGACATGTCATGACATGATGTGAAGTACTTCGCTGTGCATGCTTTAATGCGTCGACAGTGAGCGTGGGTGGAAACATGAGAGCGCTGCAATAAAACTGCATACATGCTATTTCTAAGAATGACAACCTAACACACGCCGTGAAAAAACACAAAACTAGACAAGCACAGGCACAGACTGACCTTTTTTCATGAAATATGTCAAGTTTTTTAATGGCATGTGTTTCACAACAGGTAAATTCTACATTAACGACGTGCTGAGGTGTAAGGCGCAGGTGTGCTTGGGCATGTGCTGTCATATTATGTGTAGTGTGGTATGCTAACCTACAGTATTACTAACTTGTTACTAACTTTAAGAAAAATTATTATTATTATGGTGCCTTCATTTTACTAACGTCACCATGATCTGATAATTGGCATTAAGATCAAGGCACTGGATTAGCCTCCTGCTGCATATAGCCTTCTTACATAACCAGTAGTCCAAACTGAATAAGCTGCTAAGCTGGAAAAGTGCTGGCCAACAGAGTGAAGCTCTTCCCTCAATATTACGGAATAATCCTCACTGTATGGATTCTCAAGTGTGTTTTGCAATAAACAAACAAAAGATTTTACCACCACATTTATGAATTTTAAAGTTTGCCGTAGTACTTTTTTAACATCTTGCCTCTTATTAATATCATTCCTGACTATGATGAGACCTGCATCATGCATTATGGAAAAAACAGCATTCGAGTCACTAACATGTAATGTAACATTCAAAAAATAAAATAAAATGCTGCACGTCTTGAGAATGAAACCCAGACATGTCTGTTCGTGATCTGTAAATAAGTAACTGCATTTACTGTCGACCTCTAAGGTAAAAAGGCAAACGTGCAGAGACGTGGTAGAGTTGCTGTTGTGCATAAGGTTTCATCTAAAAAATAGAAATAAAAATTAAAAGCTGGGAAATCAATGCCCGATAAACCTTCTGTTGGTTTTAGCATGATCTCCACACGCAATGTAAAGATGACGCATGACAAAAATATCCAAAATCACTCAGTCGGGTTACTGTGAAAATAGATTCATGCTAGAGATTATAAATCATTCAGGATTTTTGTTTGTCAGCAGTCTTCCAGTGTCGTGGTACACGTGCTGGATGAAGAGGTGGTAAAATGCGAGCAGTGAAGCATCGTCTGATGTGGTTGTACAACAGCTCCACAGCACAACAGCTCACCTTTGCACAGCTGATGAATAAAGAACATTTCTTTCTTATGCAGGGTCACACTATTCTCAAGAGACCTGACCGACACAGCTGAGCTATGGGAGACGTGTTTCTGGGAACCTGTTTTTCTCTCCTGGAAGGTTATAGAGATTGAGCATGCAAAGTGCATAACATATCTTCAATCATTTACTACGCATCCACTTATGTCCTTATTTAGAAAATAACAATTTCCCCTCCTTGGGGCGTAAGCACGTCTGCGGAGGCACCAATACATTTGAGCGTTTCGGGGCAGTATCGTTGAGAAGACATCGATTTAACAAGCCCGCAGGTTTGCCATGATCTAGCTCGCAAAGTTAATTATCTTTGTAAAAGGATAATAAACTGTACAGTACAGTTTGTATTTCTGACCATGACTTACTGCACAGTCTGGGTGAAGAATATATAAAAAAGATACCGTAAATCACTCAGATTGCATTCCTGCTCAGACTGGAACAGACCAAAAACACTTCCTGGTACTGAAGTAAAAACTGGTTTGAACACTAGTTCCAGTGGCATTCGAGGAACAATCAAGGGTAGAAACCAGCAGAAAAATGACATGCAAAGTTATGTCAGAGCATTTTTCACAGCAATTAAACAAATCTAAAAGTGACAACCTCTGAACTTTACAAAAACACGGCCTTTGATCACTTCAATTGACCTTGTTAGGACAAACTTTAAGTCACAGTTGGCAAATTACACTGACCCGTGCTTGTGTTTAAGAAGGTTCACTGTACTGTAGGTAGCTGTTTTCAGTCCATATTTTGCCATAAATAACCAGCAGAGCGAAAGGTCTGTTGGGGATCCAGGCTTTTATTGTCATTGTGGCACTTGTGGAAAAGGTTCAAGATAACACTGAATACACTGGCAGGGCTTAAATTACACAGTAACTAGGATATAGTGGCATCCCACTAAAATGACAGCTTGGCTTCTTCTTTTTCTTTTTAAAGAAAAACACAGCCCACCAATCTGGTTATTCATCACTTGAATAAAGTCAGTGCAACAACTTTCACATGTATCAAAGTCCGTATTATGCTTTTTGTGTTTTTCCATGTGTTATGTGCCAAATGGAAGGTTTGGAAAAGTAAGAAAGGCCCAATCATGTGCGGAAGAACTTCTTCTCTTCTAGTGCCCTATTTTCATCAACTTAAAGCCATCACAGGCCGACTAACCATTGGTGATATGAAATGGGCAGGCACCATTTTCTGAAGCCAATCTTAACTTAGAGGTGACTAAATGACAACCAGAGGGCAAATCTTATGCACAGCAAGAATCTGGAATGCTCCTTAGCAATCAAAGCATAAAACTTTTGATACGTGGATGGGCCTGAAAAGCCCACCCAGCTTGTAGTCCTGTCTTTTCTTCCATTACTTATTTACATGACTGTGTGACCCATTTCCATAACGTCTGCTTAGCTAATCAAAGAATGACCAGCCATCTTAACCAAAACCAGATTCAGCAAGCTGCCTCCCTGTTGAAACTTCTTCTAAGCTCCACTAATTCTAAGGTATGGGCACCTTAAGTGCTCTGCTAAGTACCTGCTCTTTTACCTACTTCAAGACAGGGTGCATAGTGCATAAAATGGTGTAAAACATTTAAAATATCTCATAAAGACTCTTAGTTGTTTTTTTTTAATACAGTGTATGGGGTCTGATGAGGCCTGCATTCATTCTAATGGCTAACAGGGGGCAATATTCTGGTTTCAAAAAGAAGTGCGGACATTGAAAAACAAAGGAAAGTGGGAAAACAAGCCCTGCTCCGTAATCTCAGTCATCGCTTTCCTAATGAATTTGTTGTCTAAATAGCCCGCAGCCCATGGATAAAGCAGGACAATCTGTAATGTGTGCTCAACACTGGTAACTACGGGCAGTGCAGCGTCCCTCTGTTTGTCAGACAGATACACCTCGTGTTCCTAAAATTTCAAATCTGAAACACCACGACGGCAATGGCAAAATTGCTCAGCTTGAGGTGTCACAACAGCCTTTGCTAAAGGCTATTTCCATCCTCTTTTACATACAGACTGTGGATGCATTAATCCATCACTCGGAACTGGGCTTGTTGTGTGCTGCTAGGATAACTGCTTAGACCAGTGGCAGTGTCCATTGTTTATCTGATATCATATCAATAAAGGCAAAGCAGCGAAAACAGAACCAAAACAGTAAAAACAGATCCTGCTCTCTTTACTCTTAAGTACAGATCACAGAGAAAATCCATCATGGGTTGCCTCTTTCATTCATTCAGGAACAGCTTTTTTTCTTTAGCTTTACTTCATTGTTGCATTATAAGGTGCCGCTTGTGAAATGATACTTGCCTCATTTTCTTGGCCAACCTGTATCCTGTGACCTCTTGTGTTTTTGAGCCACTCAATTGCAGGAAAAGAGATTTAAGGATGTCAGACCATGCACTCCTCACTACCTGCAGCAATAATGATCCCACTGATCTTCGGCCTTGCTATGATAAGAAATTGGTTTGTGCGATAAGGGGGATAACATGTATTTATTGACCACTAGGGCCGTCTTGCGTCTGTCTTTGAAGAGAAATATTCCTTCGAGTGTCTCCTGTGAGCTTCTATGACAAATCTAGTTGGTCTAAAGCTCCATGTTTTTAAAGTTATAACAATTTTCTGATAGTGAAATGTCTCCTTAAATACCTAAGGCATGTGTTAGACTTGATGTAGGTGGCTCTAACAGCGTTTAATTGTATCTGCTGCCTTGTGCATTTCTTATAGTGGGTGTATACTGACATCCCAGTGCACCTCTGTCTGGTTTCTTCTTGTGAAATATTACAAAAGCATAAACTAACTGGGCTGAATGCACTTGGAAAGTGGTGGGAGACCAAAATAAATGCCTAATTGGAAACTATAAGAAGTGTGTATCAGCATGTAATTCCCTTACAAAACAGCATTGGAAAAGAGGTTCTGAAGGCGCTTAATTTTTGTGAGTCATCACTAATTTCGACGCCAATTACAACCTTTTCCATAGCAACAGTTGCCGCAAAAGCTCCAGCTACTATGGATGTTAATATAAAGCCAGTCAACCATGCACCTAACATGCACACACGCACACACACACAAATGATATCTGTTAAACTGAACAGGCTGGATCTTGGAACACTCGCACTGCCCTTGCTCTTCAACTGTGATCCTTACTTTTTGGTGAAGTGACAAAAAAAGCCAAAACGGCAGAAGTGAAGAAACTTACATGGACTTTATATCACAGAAGCAATCTGCACGCAATAGCTGTGGTTTTATAAAGCCTCAGTGTGGGTTGCTAATAGCGGAAAGACTCGGTGAGCTGCAGGGAACTAACACTGTAATCCAGTACTGAGTTGATCAGCTTGAGGCTATAAGGGCCAGTGGCCTTCCTCACCTTTTCCTAACTAGACTTAAAGCCAATAAAGCATGGAACAGACACAGGAAACCTCATTACTCCTCTGACCCCGCGCATCATCATCATCATCATCATCCTCCCACACCGGGAGGGAGGACGACAATCTCAACCCCTGCGTGTCAGCTGTCAGCAAGGGAATATGTCTTCATCCAGAACTAAATCCTATTACACTCACTTTTTATAACTCCGCAGGCAGCGCGCCGAGAAGTCACCTCCACGTCACGCACACTTGTTCCCGATAATAAAATATGGAGTGGGCATAGAGAGCATTTATGACTTACCTGGATCGAAAGTTTTTCAGTCTCCGCCGCCGTAGCGACTTCGCCGCAGGCTCCCGGGAGAGCGGGCTTTTAGACACCGACCTGTGCCTGTGATTCAAAGCGTTTCACCGACAGCTGAGAAGAGGAGCGCGCGTCGGTCAGCTCAGCCGTCCTGTCAGCGAGATTATCGCCAACATCCACTGTGCGCTCTGCTCTGATCCCGGGTAGGGTGGGGTGTGGTATGGCAGCTCCGCCCATGTACGGTTAAGGTTGACACCGGGGACCTGAGGTTTCGAGGAAGTACTATCGACTGGCAGAACAAGTTTGACATGGAGCCATCAGAAGGCGTAACGACATGTGGGGGAAAGAATAAAAGACAAGAAGAAAGAATGCGTTTAGTGTAAAGTCTTGTAGATAAAGTTGATTTATGAATGTTTAATAAGTGCTGACAGCAATGTCTCTCCCTCCCCTGTCTGCCCCCCCCCCC